TATATATATATATATATATATACACATATATATGTATATATATGTATATATATGTGTATATGTATATATACATGGTTTCTTCACTGATGCCTTAGTATCTAGATTGATTAAGTGCCTGGCACAGTGTAGGGACTAAATAATTAGTTGATTTGAATATATTCCCACTGAATTTTATAAATTTTTTAGTTTCAGTCTATTATATACTTTGACAGCATGGCTTTGGAAAACCACAACCTACTTCCCCCTTGTATTGTTAAGTGTGGCCAAGCACCCACATACCATGCAACCAATCCCTACCTAGGAAAACTTCAGGCACCCAACCCAGGTAAATTGTTTAGGCAATTTACTTTGCGTTTCTGTGCCTTGTTTGCATCATCTATAGATGGGGATAAAAACCAGCTCAATTTTATAAAATGACTGTGAAAATTAAATGAGTTAATAGCCGACCAATATTTGATATTATTATATTTACATCCAAGCTCTGACCCTCTGCCCTCAGACCTCTACTGTTCTTCTATTGCTCCCTTCTGGTTAGTTCACTTTCTCAACCCCTGGTTTCACTTTCCACCTGTTAACCATCAGATCTGAAACTGATAAGGTCTCTCCAACTCCAACTCTTCTCTTTTCTCCCTAACATTTTTTTAAATGTTAGGGAGAAGCTTTCAGAAGCTTTCTACCTGACTTGTGCTGTACTGAAACTTTTGTGTTTTAACAATGTAATTCTAAGAAAAATTCTGATGGGAAATAAGAGGAAAAAAAGTCTCACAAAACCTTTATTTGGCCTTAATCCCTAACTATTTTAATGCTATCATTTACCAATGAATTATTCCATTTCATTTTAAGGCTTTATTTTTCTTAACTGTGACCTCTTTAATGTTTTATGCTACTTTAAAAAGCAAATGATTTCTGGCCTTTTAAAATAAAGTTTGCCTTGAAATTAATGTAGGACTTTCCTGATATCTGTATATCCTCTGAGCTTCATTTTGAGGCTGTGGTGGTGGTGTTATGTGCCATCGAGTCGGCCCCAACTCATAGTGACCCCTCCTTGGGTTGCCAAGGCAGTATCACTACGGAAGTAGATTGCCCAACCTTTCTTCTGAGGAGTGGCTGGTGGCTTTGAACTGCCAGCCTTTTGAGGCTTTAGGAGAGGAAAATATCCTCTTCCCCAAAAGAGATATGCCATCTTAACTTGGGCTGTGAAGGCTGGTCTACCTTATGCCTCAGTCCCAGGGAAAGTGCACTGCTAGAGAACTTGACTAAAGTGGTGGGGGAAGTGAAAGGTCCAAAGGATCAAATTCAGGCTCCCAAAATAGCCCTGAATACTCCTGCCACCTCCAAATCAGGCCATGCACCACTGCTTCATGCTGGCAGAGTGCCACCCCTCTGGTCAGATCCCAGGAGGCCTTGATGAGCCATGGATCTCCACAGGACAGCCCCCTAGAGCAGGCTGGGAGCCCACAGAATTAAAGGTGGACATGCAGAGGGCATTTTATTTCTTACACTTTTATCATTTTTTCTCTCTCTTTCTTGAAGAATCACTTCTCTTTGTTCTCCCTTCCTTTCTTCCACCTGTTCTCTGGCCCTGGAAGGCCCCAGGATAATATTTTTCAAGCTCAGTAATTTGCATACCACTGTCATAATTATTTTATCCCTGTATCTAAGTTCCCCTTGTACTATTTCTTTAAATTAGCTCTCCTTTTCATTTAATTTTTAAACACTATTAATGTATGTTGTTGTTGTTGTTGTTATGTGCTGTCGAGTCAGACCCAACTCATAGCGACCCCTCCTTGGGTTTCCAAGGCAGTATCACTATGGAAGTAGATTGCCCCATCTTCCTTCCGAAGAGTGGCTGGTGGGTTTGAACCACCAGCCTTCTGGTTAGCAGTCAAGTGCCTTAGAACTGCTTTAATTTTAAACCAGTTCCACTAGCCATAAGTAAAAACCAGGTGCCGTTGAGTTGATTTCAATTCATGATGATCCCATGCGTGTCAGAGTAGAACTGTGTTACACAGGGTTTTCAATGGCTAATTTTCCAGACATAGACTGCCAGGACTTTCTTCTGATGCACCTCTGGGTGGATTTGAACAGCCAAACTTGTAGTTGACAACTGAGTATAGTTAACTGTTCCACCCAGGGATTCCTACCATAAATCGGCTACCATATAAATAAAATGAAAACAGAAATACATAATAATTGAATTTCAGTTGGATATGGCTTTTGAAGCCCACTGGTGGTGCAGTGGTTAAAGCACTCAGTAGCGCTAACTAAAACATTGGCCGTTCTGATCGGAGAAAGATGTGGTAGTCAGCTTCCATAAGGATTTGCAGACTTGGAAACCCTATGGGGCAGTTCTACCCTGTCCTTGTTGTTGTTATGTGCCATCGAGTCTGACCCGACTCATATGGACCCCTCCTTGGGTTTCCGAGGCAGTATCACTACGGAAGTAGATACAAGGTTGCTATTAGTCAGAATGAACTCATGGCAATGGGTTGGTATGGCTGTTTGCTGTAGGCACCATGCCAGAGTCCTGCTCTATTAGATTAAGGAATGTTGGAGAGGTGTTAAACATAACCAGCATCAACATGAGACGTGTTCCATGTCATAATAAGAGAGGGAAAGTAGACCGAGAGCAACTTTCTCACTTTTTAATGCCATGCCTACATATCACTTAAATGCTTCCCACTTTGGGAACCTTTGCTTTGAGTTTTAGACTTACAAAAGACAAATTTGTTGGAAATCTGATAGGTCTCATCCCGTTTCTTTAAAGCACTGAATACATTGCTGACTATGTTGTTGTTATTTACCATCTAGTGGGACCGATTCATAGCGACCCCTCCCTCCTTGGGTTTCTGAGGCAGTATCAGTACGGAAGTAGATTGCCCAACCTTCTTTCCCAGGAGTGGCTGGTGGGTTTGAACCGCCAGCCTTCTGGTTATACTCCAATGCTTTTTGTACTTTTTTGTGTCATTATTTGTCCACTGCTTTTGACTAAGGAACCTGGTGGCGTGGTGGTTAAGGGCTTGACTGCTACCAGAAAGTTCGGCGCTTTGAACCTTTCTGGGTTTTAATTTGTGGGAAGATGTGGCAGACGGCTTCTGTAAAGACTACAGCCTTGGATACCCTACAGGGCCCAAGAGAACCAGCCTTCCTATTCCTTAGGAGGATTCGTGAAGGGTTGCTCACCTGACCTAGGCCAAACTTATCGCCTACTCCGTGTTGATCGCCGTTGTCATGGCAGCTGCGCATTGTTCCCGCCTCCTCTTGGTGACGTTTGGAGACCATCGCCCAATAGAAAAGCAGAGCTGCGTCACAGACAGCCTTTCCCGACTGGCGCTGCCTTCGGGGCGGAGAGAGAAGGTTGATCGCGCTGGGGAGGCAGGGTGGGCTGCGGCCGCGGCGATTACATCGTTTTCCAATCCGCCCGCCTCCGCGGCCACCCAGAGAGAATCATAATGTTCAGGATGCTTAGCAGCACCTTTGAGGAGGACCCATTCTTCTCGTGAGTATTGGTGGCTGGCGGGAGCTTGCGTTCGCGCAGGAATTTAGGGAGTCGGAGGATGTTTTAAGGGAAAACAAAAAGTTTTAGAGAGCAAGAGAGAATTGAGGGTGACTAAATGTGGCGGTTTGAGGTAAAGGAGAGGATGGCTTGGGGCGTTAGGTGGAGAGAAGACGACTTGGGACGAGGTGTGAGAGACAATTTGAGGCAGGAGATACTTAGAGGTCGGAACAACCCACCACACACACAACCGCTGGGGATGCGGGTTCCTCTCGCCTTGGCCAGACTAGGGTGACCGCCCTCGCCCCTTACCTCAACATGGCATCCAGCCTTCTCAGCCACAGGGGCCTTGCAGGCGATGCTAATTTTAACACGTTGTTAGAATTTCTGGTGAGAATTATGCTCACAGGACCGTTTTAATTACAAGCCGAGCATTTTTTTCCATGATAAATGTGACGGATATGTTTATGAGAGCACAGTGAAATTGAGATTTGTGCTTTCTCTCACTCCGAAGTGCTTAGAAGATGTCTTGTGAACTGTGTGTTTTCTTTGCGTGCTTTGTGGCAACGCTAGCCTCCTTTAGAAAGGGACTTCTTTTTCTGTTTAGAAAGGGACTTTTTCTTTTCTGTGGAATGTACAAACAGTAGAGAAGAGAACAGGGTGCATTTAACACCTCAGGTAAATAAGGGCCATTATCCTGTGAAGAGAGATCCAGTGAGATAATGTAATTGAAAACCAGTTCTAGAAAGTAGGCATTCAGAAATTCATAGTTTCACTGTGCTCTAGTTTTTTGGGTTTTTTTTTTTTTTTTTGTCTTTTATGAAGCATAATATCATAATCTAGTTGAATCCTAGACATGGGAAGCTTGTGATACTTTTTTATGGTCAAAGTACTTTACCAGTTTAAATTTTGCCTTGGTGTCACTAATTTTTTTGATCCTTTAAGGTCTCTACAATTCTGTGCCATAAAAAAAATAGTGTCACAACTGACTTCACAAAAGAAAATATTATATAGACTTAAATGTGTTTGTATTATTTTAAAACCAAATAACATAAAAATAACAATTGAAAAGTAATAAACAGTAGAAAAAATTCAGTGATTAGCAATTTATTTTAAAGATTATAAAGGAATATATGGATTCAGGCAAATTTATTATTGCTATACCATTTTAGTTAATTTGTTAAGGTGTGGGTGAGATATTTATGGTCAATGTCATTTTAACAAGTTTAAAATTTTGTATTATGATTTGCTCTTTTAAAAGCCTCTTAGAGTGGGGACTAAATATATCCATAGATGAGCTGAGCTATTGAAGGTGGTTAAATGTGATAATACAATGAGTAACAGTTAAGAAAATTGATTGTTGTTGTTGTTGTTGTTTGCCATCGAGTCGGCCCCGACTCATAGCGACCCCTCCTTGGGTTTCCGAGGCAGTATCACTACGGAAGTAGGATTGCCCAACCTTCCTTCCGAGGAGTGGCTGGTGGGTTTGAACCGCAGCCTTCTGGTAAGCAGTCAAGTGCCTTAGGCACTATGATAGACCTATTTTAATTATATACTTGATTATACCAAAAAGAGCAGTGGCCTTAACTAAACTTAGATGTGTAATAAGTACTTCTATAAAACAAAAAACAAAACAAAACAAAAAAAGGACCTCTGGTAGCATAGTGCCTAAGGCACTTGACTGCTAACCAGAAGGCTGGCGGTTCAAACCCACCAGCCACTCCTCAGAAGGAAGGTTGGGCAATCCTACTTCTGTAGTGATACTGCCTCAGAAATCCAAGGAGGGGTCGCTATGAGTCGGGGCCCACTTGATGGCAAATAACAACAACAATAAAACATCAAACAGAAGTGTTAATTTAAACTCTTGGGTAACTTTCTGAGCAAAGGCAGTGAGCAAACCAAAGAGTCAGGGTTAGAAATAATAACAAGCCACAAATAGTAGCCATACATCAAAGAACACATCCCTTGTGTTTAGGATGAAAAGGACCATCAGTTACATGTTAGTCTTTCAGTTACCCAATACTATTGCCTCTGTCAGATGCAAGGATCCATGTTTTAAAAATTTTAAAGTAAAATGATTGTGATTAACTTCATAAAACTGATTCATGCCTGTAATGTGTTTGCTTCACAATTAATTAAATATAAACACAGTTTTGAAGGCAGGAAGGAAAGAGAATGTCAGTTTATATTTATTTCATATATCTGTGATTTGATTCACTTCTTTTGCCTCAACCCCAAACCAATGTGTATCCATTACTTATTACAATTCAAATAAGGAGTTGGAACAAAGACTTAAATATAAAACCCAAAGCTATAAAGTTCATCAAAGAGAAAATAGGGGCAAATCTAGGGTCACTAATTTATGCCATAAATAGACTATCAAGCATAACCAAGAATGCACAGGAGGTGGAAGAGAAGCTAGAAGACTGGGACTTTTTAAAAATTAAATTCTTACGTGTATCAAAAGACTTTGTCAAAAGGGTAAAAAAGAGAATCTACAGATTGGGAGAAAATATTTGCCTATGACATATTTGACAAAGGACTTATCTCCAAAATCTATAGAAAACTTCACCACCTCAATTCCAAAAGGACAAACAATCCCATTCAAAAATGGGCAAGGGACATGAACAGACACTTCACAAAAGACAATATGCTGATGGCCAACAAACACATGAAGAATTACGCGTGATCATTAGCCATTAGAAAGATGCAAATCAAAACAACGATGAGATAGCATCTCACCCCAGCAATAATAGCAAAATTCAACAGGACAGAAAATAACAGATGCTGGCGTAGAGATTAGAAATCCCATACACTGCTGGTGGGACTGTAAAATGGTACAACCATTGTGGCAAATGGTATGGCGTTTCCTTAAAAAACTGAAAACAGAAATACCATTTGAACCAGCAATTCCATTACTAGGAATATATCCTAAAGAGGTGAGAGACAGGACATGAACAGACATCTGCATGCCCATGTTCATCACAGCACAATTCACTGTAGTAAAGAGATGGAAACAACCTAAATGTCTGTCAACAGATGAATGGATAACCAAACTATGGTACATTCACACAGTGGAATACTATGCTACATTAAAGAACAATGAAGAGTACAGGAATCATCTCACAACATGGATGAATCTAGAGGACATTATGGTGAGTGAAATAAGTTATTCACAGAAGGACAAATATTATATGAGCCCATTAGTGTAAAAAGTCAAGGAAGGGTTTACTTAGGGAAGGGAACTCACTTTAGGTTACTGGGGATGAGAGGAAAGGGAAGGGAATAATTTTGGACTAGTTGGGGGCCACATGCTGAGTTGGGTAAGGGGAGGGATGGGATGAAAAGAGTCTGTGACCAGCATGATAACATTGGGGAAATGGAGGACACTGAGTTGTGCACATAAGATACAGATGACAGAGGATGGTACCAGCATATCCACAATACTGCATTACCATTAGCACCAAATACCAGGCTACAGATAAACACACAGACAACTGAGAAGATCAGATGGGGGTCAGTGAACCGGAATATACTGTAGACCAATGGTAGATTTAGCTGAGGCTAATCTTGCACAGATACTAGTGATACAAAATACCCATACTCATATAGAAGTGACAGAAAACAGACGTAGAGCAATCCCTCACAGACAGCCAGACACTGTGGGAGAGAGATCCAATGGATCTACCGACTCAGGATCATAGTATTGGGACACCAGACTCAATTGGCACAACAAAATATATAAACATCTTGTTCCACAACCTACTTTGGTGAGTAGTGACTGGGGTCTTAAAAGCTTTTGAGTGGCCATCTAAGAGGCAGCTGATGGTCTCGTATCGTCAGAAGCAAAGAAAAGTGAAGAAAACCAAGAGCATCTGGAAGCAGTCAGCCCTAGGACATGATGGACCTCAAGCCCAGAAGAACTAGATGGTGCCTGGCTACCAATGCCAACCACCCAGGAAGGGATCAAAACTGGAGATCCTGGATAGAGTGGGAGGAAAAACATGGAACAAAATCCAAAAACAATAGAACCAAACCAAACCAAACTCACTGCCCTGCAGTCCTTCCGGACTTATAGCTACCCCTCCTTGGGTTTCTGAGGTGATCACTTCGGAAGCAGATTGCTCAATCTTTCTCCTGAGGAGTGGCTGGTAGGTTTGAATCGCCAGCCTTCTGGTTAGCAGTCAAATGCCTTAAGCACTGTGCCCAAAACACAATAATGACCTAATTACTGGTCGGATGGAGTCTGGTGGGACCCCCAAGACTATGGCCCTGGAATACACTTTGGGCCTGGAATAAAACGTACTCCCAAGGGCTGGCTCTCAGTACAACTGTAAATAAGACTTACATGCAGAACACTGAACCTAGGGCGATGCACCCACCTACTCTACGGAGATATATCCCTTGGAGCAATCAGCCATGGGGCACCAGAGGGACAACATTTACACGGAGGAAAAGCTGGACAGATAGGAGTACATAACTAAGATAGGCACGGGGTGGGGGTTGGCTACTGGGAAGGGAGAAGAGGAGAGTGGGGTAGGGTTGGGCATGGTAATTGGGGAGTGAAACCAAATGTACATGAAATGTTGAACATAAAACAAATTCTGTTCTGTGAATTTGCGCCTAAAGCACAATTAAAAAAAAAAAAAAAATCAAATAAGGAATTCCTAAAGGTGAAAAAAACTTATTGAAGCATCCTTTAACCCAAAGGAACAAACAGGGAAAGTGAAACCTAAGCTCCATGCTCAGCATCTTTCATATAAACAGTGTCCCTCTTGCTAGCATTATGGGAGTCCCTGAGTGGTACAGTTAACCCACTTGGGTGCTAACAAAAAGGTTAGAGATTCCAGTCTACCCAGAGGTACCTTGGAAGAAAGGCCTGGTGACTTATGAAAAATCAGGCATTGAAAACCCTATAGAGCACAGTTCTACTCTGACAAATACAGAGTCACCTGAGTCAGAATGAGCCTGATAGCAACTGGTTTGCTAGCATGTGTCTGGTT